CAGTAGATATGCTAAAGTACATCCATACAGTTCGGTTGGGGGCTTCAAGGGGGGCCACAGGGTGGTACCAATATGACACGCAGTACCGTCTGCGGAAATCAATAGATCCCTCTAGTTCTTGGGCATTAGTTGATTCAGAGCTGTGGTTGTTATACATGAATCCTAGTTATCAGCTTGGATTTCCCCAGACTCAAAGCACGCAAGTAAACAAATGTTGTTACGATTTTAATTTTCGGGGGTCCTGCAGTTGATATCCGTGTCAGTACATGCACACGTGTACACGTTGTGCCGGCTTGCACTCAGTCATACAATGCAATTATCAAAGAGCCCAGGTAAATACCAGTAGCTCATCAAACTCCACAAACTCCTTTCGAACCCAGTCCATGCAACCACAATCACAATTTAGAAATGCATATACAAGACAACAAGCTCAACCAAACTCCTACCAAAGATCTCAGTCCCACTTCCAAAATTACAAGGGAAATGGACAGAGATATTTGGGTCCTAGGAAAAACACCAATTAAAATTCCCATATTAAAGAGTTACCTTGATCTTTACCCAAACAAATCTGTAGCAAACAAATTGTTAAGTGGCTTTTCTGAGGGGTTCAGACTTTATTACTCAGGTCCAAGGTTACATATAGAAAATAACAATTTAATTTCAGCTTATGAACACAAATCAGAAATAAAAGAAAAAATTAACAAAGAAGTTGAATTAGGCAGGGTGGGGGGACCCTACAAAGAACTACCAATCTGTAATCTCAGAGTGTCGCCAGTAGGAGTGGTACCAAAGGGGGATAACGCTGGGTGGCGTTTGATAACACACCTTTCATATCCTGCGGATAACAGTGTAAATTGCTATATAGACCCTAGTGAGTCCACAGTTCATTATACATCCTTTGATACAGTTGTACAAATGTTGGCAAAGGTTGGTAAAGGTGCTTTTATTGCAAAAGTAGATATTAAATCAGCATTTAGGCTACTACCTATCTTCCCTGGGGATTTTGACCTTTTAGGATTCAAAGTTGAGGGTCTATATTACATTGATAAATGCCTTCCAATGGGCTGCTCTCTCTCGTGCAAAGTATTTGAAGAATTTGCAACATTCTTGCACTGGATTACTGAAAAAAAGAGTGGTTTTGATACTTTAGATCATTATTTAGATGATTTCATATTTGCAGGGGAGGATAGGGAGTCGTGTCTTAAATTAATGAAAACATTTCAAGGAGTTTGTACTGAACTGGGGGTCCCCTTAGCTGATGACAAAACGGTTTATCCCACTCACTGTCTTGTATTTTTAGGTTTAGAAATTGACACAGTGCAAATGTTAATCAGAGTACCTCATGAAAAATATATTGAATTGAAGTACATACTGCATGAATACTTAAGCAAAAAACAAATAGTTTTGCGTCAGTTACAGTCATTGTTAGGGAAGCTAAACTTTTTTACAAAAGCTATTTCTGCTGGCCGAGCATTTGTCAGGAGATTGTACGATTCAACCCATGGTGTGTCTAAGCCTCATCATCATATTAAGCTAAACAATGAAATGAAGCAAGATATGCTTATGTGGTTAAGTTTCCTAGAGCAATTTAATGGTCAAGTTTATTTCCAAGAAAGTGATTGGTCATCAAATTTAGTTTTAGATCTGTATACAGATAGTGCTGGTTCTGCACACCTGGGTTGTGGAGCATACTTTCAAGGGCAATGGTGCTATTTTCCTTGGCCACATGAATGGGTCACTTCAGATATATTGCGTGACATGACAACACTAGAGCTTATCCCAGTAGTTTTGGCCATTAGCTTATGGGGTAGTCAACTTGCAAATAAGAAAGTACTGTTTCATATTGATAATGCAGCATTGGTTTCGGTTTTGAATAAACAGTCCTCAAAATCCAGTAGAGTTATGAAATTAGTTCGCCCATTTGTTTTAGATTGCATGTTAAACAATATATTTTTTTGTGCTGTTCACATTCGTACAAATGATAACATTATTGCCGATTCAATTTCTCGTCAGCAGTGGCACCGTTTCCGGCAGGCTGCACCACATGCACAGACCTCACCACAACCTGTACTAATCGAATTCCAGAACCTCATATCCAGCATGAAATAAACAAGTTGTTAGGGGCAGCATTATCCGAAAACACTAGCAAAGCTTATCAAATAGGCATGAGAGCATATTTCAGCTGCTGTTCACAACAAGGATTAAATACCCCTTGGCCACCCACCTGCGATTTGATTGTTAGATTTGTTGCGCATTTGTCACTTAAAGGCCTTGCATTTTCTACAGTTCGTACCTACTTGGCTTCTATTTCTTACAATAGCAAACTTCAAGGTCATAAAGATCCAACAGAAGAGTTTATAGTTAAAAAGTTGTTACAGGGTTTGAAACGCACAGCTCACAGTAGTGACACTAGGTTGCCCATTACAAAGTCCATATTAGAGCAGATTCTTAAAATTCTACCAAGTGTATGTACAAGTTTATATGAGGTTTCATTGTTTTCAGCTGCATTTTCTATCGCATATTATGGCCTGCTTAGAGCTGGAGAACTGGCAGTCTCCGGCAAATCCTCAGATAAAGTTGTTGCTTATACACACATCCAATTTGACGACAATAACACTACACTATTCCTCAAAATAAAATTTTCAAAGACTGACCAATATGGTAGGGGTACAATTTTGCAGATATATGGCACAGGGGATGTAACTTGCCCCTGCACTAATCTCAAAAGGTTTTTAGAAAATAGACCTACTCAGGGGGGTCCATTATTTTGTCATTTTTCCGGAGCTCCCCTGTCTAAGTACCAATTTACTTCGATTTTATCCAAAGCAATATCAGCCCTAAACCTTGAGTCTTGGGGCTACAAATCCCACTCCTTTCGGATTGGGGCAAGTACGGAATTTGCCTTAAAGGGGTTTTCATCTCAAGTTATTCAATCCTCAGGAAGATGGAAATCTGATTGCTATAAAACCTACATACGTATTCCAAGATTTTAATTAACCCAGAGTTGTTATTTCAGATTCTCAAGTCGTATGGTTGTTTGGGTCATCAATTATTAAAAGGGCTTTTGCAGAAGCTAAGAATAGGCCTGGTAGGTGTGATTTAAATTTGCAAAGAATAAATATTTCAATTTGGTGGCAAGGTTACAGTGGTATAGAATTTAAGAATGCTGTAGCAAAATTGCGGTTGCTGAAAAAAGTTGGTCCTAACCCTAACGTCATCCTTGTGCACTGTGGTGGAAATGATATCGGGAAAACATCAGTAAGAAAATTAAGAATGTTAGGTATAAAATTCTTGGAATTTATTAAGGAGGAATTTCCTCTGGTTCACTTAATATGGTCTCATATTCTGCCCCGCATTAGTTGGCGTTATTCGTCAAATAACCTGGCAATGGAGAACACTAGAAAAAGGTTAAATGCATTTTTCTCTAACAAAGTTTGTCAAAATGGGGGTTCTGTTATCCACTACCCTGACATCAAAAATCATGCCCGATTTTTTGAAAGGGATGGGGTTCATTTATCTAAGTTAGGAAATGAAATTTTTCTAAACACAATCCAGGGGGGTATCGAAGCAATTATTAGGCATGGATACAGGTTCTATCCATCACGGTAATGACTGATATCTGGAGAGGAAGGGTCACGGCTGTTTCAGGCCGCTCAGGACCCCCACTACTAAAGTGGCGGCGCCCCCATTCCTAGATGCTTTGTTCAAGCATATACGACTGGGGTCTTGTGGCGAACTGAGCGGCATACATCAATTTAACTATCATATAATATTTGTTCATTATTGGACCGCTGCACCACCCAGGGTCAAAGTTGAATACCATGTAAATATTGTGACAGTGTAAACAAAACTATGTTTATTTGCTTCCTTGACTTCTGCACCTCCCAGAGTCATGGATGTGTGAATATTATTCTTGCATTGCAAGTTTTTATTATGTGACCTTGACCTCTGCATCTCCCAGGGTCAAGGTCACCTGATATGTTGTATGTTGATGTTGTACTGAAATGTTGTTGTTGTTGAAATGAAATGTTGTTGTTGTTGCTGGGCCTACCCGTTGCTTTGGAGGCCCGAAATAATATTTTGTGTAATTCAGCCGTGCCCAATAGCGCCAAATAAATATAAAACCCATAAGAATTTTTGTTTCATTTATTGCGCCTGTCCAAGATAATATGGCATCTATCTCGCCTATATGCGAATAAGATGCTTTTATCTTGGCAGCGCAATTTTTTTGGCGCAGTTACCTCTCCTTATTTTGGCACGAGTTATCTAACCTTCAGTTATATATAAAGAAAGCACTCATGCGGCAAACTCTCTCTTTGCCGGCTACACGCTAGTTGCAAGGTTGGTGTTATTCAAATTTTAGAAAACGACTAAGTATAGAGATTTAAAATCCCTCCCTCCCCTTAATCCCCCAAATATACATTGTTGAATAGATACTGCTGGTGTTTCTGTTATTTCTTTTCAGTGGAAAATACAAGGCAAGAGGTCATCTGTACCTACATATCCGGCACGTCTGTCATTTTGAAGATTGTCTGTGAACTTGTGAACTGAGCGGCATACATCAATTTAACTATCATATAATATTTGTTCATTATTGGACCGCTGCACCACCCAGGGTCAAAGTTGAATACCATGTAAATATTGTGACAGTGTAAACAAAACTATGTTTATTTGCTTCCTTGACTTCTGCACCTCCCAGAGTCATGGATGTGTGAATATTATTCTTGCATTGCAAGTTTTTATTATGTGACCTTGACCTCTGCATCTCCCAGGGTCAAGGTCACCTGATATGTTGTATGTTGATGTTGTACTGAAATGTTGTTGTTGTTGAAATGAAATGTTGTTGTTGTTGCTGGGCCTACCCGTTGCTTTGGAGGCCCGAAATAATATTTTGTGTAATTCAGCCGTGCCCAATAGCGCCAAATAAATATAAAACCCATAAGAATTTTTGTTTCATTTATTGCGCCTGTCCAAGATAATTCTTATTACTGCAAGATACTGATATTGTATTTTAAACTCCTACGTTTTACATTAATAACTCTGTTTTATAGAGACTTTCTGAGTGTTGTGTCGTGAAATATGTTTTTCAGTCGGCGAACAATGGTTGGGCCTGATAAGGAAGAAAAGAGATTACCTAAAATTTAAGTTCCCTATACGAGCCTTCGTTTATAACCAGTTACTTTGTGTCTCATTTCTACCTAATCTTTCAATACTGTCCCTATTTGAATGACAAACAGAGTGATACACGAACCCTATCTAGATATCTTTTTTTATTCAAATTTAAAATAGAAATAGAAAATTACTGAAATTTATTTTTAGGTATTACAAGTTAAACTGGAAATACCGATAAGATTTATATATTTAAGCATTGTGTTACTTCGTCGTACACTGTGAAAAATTTGTTGAAAGCATAAAGATGTATCTTAAACCACTGGAAATTCGCTTCAGTCAAGATTCCATTGGAAGCACATTTGGCCACTACACGTCCCATCCCTTTAGACCTATAGGAAACACACTGGATGATATTTTATCTGGGCGCTGCAACATTAACTCTATACCTAATATTTCTGTGATAAAAAGAAATGGTCTTTGGTTCACAGCAGATAATAGAAGATTATGGGTGTTCCAAGAGGCGGAGAAACGCGGAAAATGCAGTGAAATATACGTCAGAGAGACAAGTTACATTAATTACAACAAGTTCACAACTGTAAACAATGGTGTTTCTATATACGTTAGAGGAGACCCCGGAGGGTTCCTTTGGAGACGTATGCGAGAAGTAAGCAGGGATATGACAGAGCCTATTCCAGAAGTATCAACGATGTACTCAGATTCTTTTATAAAAACTTCTACAGATAGTATAGTTTCGGAAATCAGCACTAAACAAATAGACAAAGATATGAGTATTCCTCCAGCAAACTTTAGGCAACACAGTCTTGAAAATACAAATTCGATGTTTCCAATCCCACCAGAAGACGATTCATCAGACAGCGAAGAGAGTTATCTAGAAGATGTCAGAAAATTACCTAAGCCAGCTGAAGACGATCCACCAGAAAGACCATCAGAATGTGAGGCAAATTATTCAATGAATATGAGAGAAGGAAAAGTAGAAGAAATGGAAGTTGACTTTGATAAAAAGTCTGAATCTTTTTCTGACATTACTGATATCAGTGGAAACAACCATGATGAAAAGCCATCGATGCGTTTCTCTTTTAATGAGCACAGTGATTGTATCTCGATTAAACAATCAAGTGAGTTATCAAACAACCCTTATGGCCACTATGGCGTATCAAGAGTGGAGGATGAAGTCAAAATTTCGGCAGTTGAAATCGTGGCAACCACAGAAGAAATAAAGGGAACCGTTATGGAGAACAAAGCATTTGTGGGAGACGAATTAGTCATGGGAGACAATAAGAGTAGCGAAGCCATGGAAAAAGAAAAACGAAATCTGGAAAATAAAATATCCAAGAACCAAATACGAAGCATTTCTGATTCAAAGCTACTTCATTATCGAAAAGAACATTTTATTCTTAATATGGAAAATATGTCGAGAAAAAGACAAAAAAAGTGCACGTTAGCGAAAAAAATTCTTCGTGTATCCAGTATTGCTCTTGCACTGTTATTGGTGCTATGTTTGTTATTGTTTCTTTTACACCTTCTCTGGTACTATATATCAAATATATAATCAAATCAAGAACTTTATAAAAACCTCCAAATAATTATTCCTTAATAAATAATTTAAATAAACGCAATCACGTTATGATCAATTGAAACATTGAGCATTGCTTGTGGATGCTAATTTTATAATTGACATGTATTTTTAGATACAGGTGGATTCCATGTGTTTATTTTTAATCAAACATGGTCGCTTTCTGAAAACAGTCTATTACCTAAGTTGTCCGGTATAGATATGCGCAGAAATCAATATGTTAAATTATAGATACAATGGTATGTTTACCTTGTGTTATGAATGCCATTTTGTCATTAAAAGTTACATAACGAGGCGTTGATTATAAATTAATGAAAATAATGTATCTTTTATCTTGATTTGAATGGCGATTTCATGATTTAAAATGACTTGTGTATTTTTTTTATTGCTTTTTAAAAGATGAATTGAGTGTATGGTATTAAAAATAAATAGAGTCAATTATTTGAGTATTCGTTTTGATCGGTCGTGTAATTTTATTATCCTTTTCCTTTTTTAGAATACATTTAAGCATTATATACATGTAATTGTATGCTTAAAATTAATTTTAAAAAGTTGTAAGGAGGTTGAGGTGAGAATTGTTCTTGTTTATAATGATGAACTGAAAATTATCTCTTTTAAATCAAAACATATATCAAGTCAGTCTATAAAACTTTTTTTCTAAAATTCTTCCGGGTATGCAGTGAAAACTAAATGTCTCCAATTTCGAAACACTAATAACATATCCTTAAAAAGAAGAAAAGCATCAGGAAATACATTCATTGAATAAATTAATCTGATCTATTACATTTTAGTTTTTGTTGATGTGAAATTCAACTCTCCTTAGATATGCTTATTTTTATATATTAGTACATAAATCACTTAAAAAATTATTCAGTTAGGTTTTAAACGGTGTTTTTAATTCATATAAATATGTGATTGGATATAGCTTACGATTCGTTATTACATGCAGTAATCTTTTGCATATGTTTACTGTAGAAATTTGAAATTGAACGTAGGAGAAAGATTTTTCGGCAAGGATGCAAGAATAGAAATAGAACAGAATAGAAAATGTAATTCATGTAACTTACGAATTGTCTAAAATAAAAATAAAATTCAATGCCGAGTTAACTGAAACACCTTCAATTATTTAAGTATTACATTAAATGTGTTTTCTTTTTTTGTTTTTTAAAAAAAAGGACGAATACTCAGTTTTATATATTATCAACCCGGTTTTCTGAAAATGATTCATTACGTATAATTTGACATAGATATAGTGCAGTTTATGAGACAGTGAGACAAACTCACTATCTAAATATCACGTACAGATATTATTGAATCAAATTATGGCATGCAAGAGATCACTACTCAAAAGTCCAAAATGTAAAAGAGCGCATGAAAAAATTAATTATCAATCATATAACATTTAAAAATCAAAAGATGAAAATTGTATTTTGCAAAGGAAGGGTTTAACTCCAAGTGAGGAAATATATGGAGGGAACGATGGAATATTAGTAAATTAAGTAAATTACTTGACATTTATATAATTTTATAGGGAGGATTTCTACTCATATTCTTTGTGTATTTATAAATTAATAAAATCTTCACAGAATCAAGAAGAGTACCTTTAAGTGATGGTATCCTTTAGATTAGATTTGATTTTATTAAAATAAGGTCATTGCAAAGTCATTAGGTTAACTTGAAAATAATATTTTCGTTTCCCCCTGCCGACTCAGAAAAAAAAGATTTAGACAATAGGTGGATTTTTCCCCTCAGAAAATTGGGTTTCCTTTCTAAAAGAAGGAAAGAAAGGTGTCATATTTTCCACTTTATATCAATATGTGATAAACTTGCAATTTTCATTTAGACCACTTTGAGCTTAAGTACATGAACATGAAGTTGCACTATAAAAATTTGACTGAAAATTTAACTATATATTTTTCGTTATACCATTACAACCATTATCAGTAAAGGTTGTAACAATATTACAAATAAAACGAAAAAAACTTCTTCAATAACACAATTTTAGATCTACTTACTTTATTATGATTTGAATTACTTAAACATTCCATTCCATAACGTGCATTTATTTTCATTATCCCTTGTACAAACATATCCTCGACCTAGATTATAATTACGGGATTGATAGCTGCTGTACTCAGAGCTTTTTGCATTTTCAGGAAATGCATATCCGATGCATGTTTGCCAATTTCCTAGTTTCGTTTTGTTTACCGCGAAAACGCTGTCTGCTTTCAAATGTAATTTGACAGATCGTAAAAGAATAGGCTTTATATGAGCTGATAACTGCCATGGAACTTAAACCTTCGGAAATCCGTTACAGTCAAGACTCTATCGCACGATATTTTGGACGAAGCACTAGTCACCCTTTCCAACCCATTGGCCAAACACTGGACTCGATTTTGTCCGGAGAGTGCAATGTAAATGCAATTCCCAAGATATCGGTTGTCTCGCGACATGGGCATTGGTACACTACGGACAACAGACGTTTATGGGTGTTTCAAAAAGCAGAAGAACGCGGGTATTGTGATGAAATCACTGTGTATAACGCATATTTTATTGACGAGGGGAAATTTACAACTACGAACGAGGGGCGGTCAGTGACTGTCAGGGGAGACCCAGGTGGGTATCTTTGGAGGAGATATCCTGTTGTTAAGGGGGAATCAAGAGCATATGGTTACCATGGTTCAAGGTCAATGTCAACTTCCGGATTGCAAACTTACGCCAGCAAGTCATCAAACACTCCCTCCTATCAATCCAGACCTGTAACGCCGATTCAGATCTCCAGGCCTTCTTCATTCACATCGAGCTACTCAGCGTATTCACCACCAGCAAGAGCTCAACAGACGAGAAGGGAGTTCTCCTCTGTGACATTTGAACAGGAGAGGAGAAGGTCCAGTTTTTGGGACAGTTGTGTCATTTTGTGAATTGATGTGTAACGGCTTGTGAATACTATGCGTAATAGTGCATTTGTTTGTAATAATGGTATTATTTTTGATGATGGAATCATCGTCCTATATAACTGCATTTGTTATATGTATTTATTAATGTTAATTAAATTAAATTATTTATTTTTCATGCTTCTCCTAAGTTATTTTTTACAATATTTCTAGTGTGGAAATCTTCGTGCATTGTAAGAATGTTACATATGAAACAGACAAATTAGTTACCTGGAATAAGTTGATTACCTTAATCATCTCATGGAGTTTCAACGGAAAGATAGTCCATGATGGCGTGAAGGTTCATATTATATGCTAAAAAATGAAAGTGCATTTGCACTAGAAATGTCCATTTATTCCTTTCAAGATGGTCTGTTCTAACTCAAAATGATGTCAACTGTTTTGCTTACTTGCAGAACAAATTTTGTTCTGGTTGAGGTCAAGAGTATATTTGAACCACATTTAATATCTTTGTATCTTTTTAGTAATTAAAGCAGCCTTACCTGTCACCATATCTAACTATGGCTGACGGTAGGGATTTCTGACAAACTGAAACAAATAGTTTATTCTCCATTATATTTTTTCATCAAGAAAATCTGGGAGGGAGAAATTGTGAATCAATTTACTTAATAAACTTGAATCATGCTATAGTGAAACATATGTTTGGTAAAAATTTAGAAAACAGACAAACTGCATAACGCAAAGTGTACATGAATTTTATGACCTTAAATAACATCAATAATATGATTATTCATTAAATAAATTACACAATCATGGACATTTTTATCATGGCAAGTGATATGAAAAATATACAATCAATAATTTACTTTTATTCTTTGAAATCTGTCAATCCACATGAAACATGTATTAAAAAGCACATAAATGTAGAAAAATATTTGAAACAATATAGTGTATAGGTTAAAATCTCAACAAAGCAAAAATCATTTAGATGTTTGAGTATCAAACGCATATTCTTTGGTATAAATATAAAATATACCATACATTTTTGCCATTTTCTCTCAAGTTTGCAACAGAGCCACTGTACATCTGACATAGCTATGGAATGTAAAAATAGTCTGCGAATTGAGGTATATCAAAAATGAGGCTATAGGTATAAGTAGGATTGATAAATCCCTATTTCTCTGACGTCAGGGTTCCATATTTTTTCTTAAACTTGGAAATTTCTCTTATCATGAAACATGAATGTATTTCATTTTATGTTTGTCTTTAATAACTTCCGGTCCAGAGAAATAATGCAGGAAGTTTTACATAGAATCCATTGATTCCTTGAGGAGGGCCTTCTCCATACTTCTAGTCTGTTTTCCAATGTGATTATCTTCATTAATAAATGAAGCCTGAACTGTGACATTTTTTTAAAATTATCGTTCAAGTAATTATCCACTCTTCTCAGATGCATTTATATGCTGCTTTGTATATTGTTTTTGCTACAATTTCGTACCGAATTCTGAAAAATAAAAGTATGCAATTTTAGAATATTTTGTTTTTTTTAAAGACAATTGCAACAAAAGTATCTCAATTTTACCCATATCTAATAAAACTTAACTATAAATTTATATATTTTACTGTCATACACACTTTTAGGACTAAATGCATGATGTACTGAGAAACTAAAATCTAGAACTTCTTTATATCAAAGATAATAACTCTCAAATTAAATATGATAATCATGGACCACGGTTATTTTAAAACTAAACAAAATTATATACAAGGTGTGTTTCAGAATTTTAAAAAAATCTAACGCTTTTACTTTAAAGAAAAATATTTCAATTTAATTTGCCTTAAGAAAAAAAAATGCTGCTACTTTGATTATTTTATCAAAATAAAACTTTGATACTCTAATTTATTAAAGTAAACTTTAATTTGATTAAGTAATATAATTTTTTTGTTAGGTTGCATTTCCCCCTCAAAAATTGTTGAATTCAGTTTATTGGAGTTTTATGAAGAGACTTATAATTTTACCATTTGACGACTGACTTTTACAATTTCAACATAGACAAACTCCAATCACTAAAATGTAAAAGTCAGCCGTCAAATGTAAAAGTAAGTCTCTTCATAAAACTCCATTAATCACTTAAGGAGTATAAAAACTCGCTAAAATAATTTTTTTTTTAGATATTGAAAAGTTGCTTCCCTTGTTTCACAAATGACAGTAAATCATATCTCAAATAGATTTTTTCCATTTATTTAATTGTTCTTTTTAAAAAGAAAGATGAAGGATTATATATATGTTAATACTTGTTAACAGAAACTTATGTAATTACTCGATAAACATTAGACTGAGAAACAAAGAAAGAAATCCAAGAAAGAAAATTTAATAGAAGTTTTAAAACCTTACCTGGTTTTGACACAAGATTTCCAGCTCCATGGCCCACATTTCGTGATGTATTCCTCTCGGTACATCCTCTTGTAGGACCTATCATATGGCACGGTGTATCGAGTATAAGTACAGCCTCTGTAAATATCAGTATATCATATCAGTATCACTGTAATAATAACAAAAGGCCCAGGGGCCACAGCGCTCACCTGAGCACATCAAGCTTGAATTTACCCCCCCCCCCCTTCCAGGCGTTCATCATTTGAACAAACTAGAATCTACACTACCTGAGGATGATTCCATATAAGTACCCCGGGTATCACTAATCATAGCTTTGAAGTACTTGAAAAGAAGATTTTAAAAGGTTTCCCAATATTTCCCTATGTAAAACTTGGGTCGGCCATTTTGGCCCCACCATATCCCAAAGGCAGGGGGTCATGATTTGAAAAAACTTGAATCTACACTACCTGAGGATGATTCCACATGAATTTCATCTTTCCTGGCCCAGTGGTAATTGAGAAGGATTTTTAAAGATATTTCCTATATATTCCTATGTAAAACTTGGGTCGGCCATTTTGGCCCCATCCTTGCCCCGGGGGTCATGATTTGAACAAACTTGAATCTACACTACCTGAGGATGATTCCACATGAGTTTCATCTTTCCTGGCCCAGTGGTTCTGGAGTAGAAGATTTTTAAAGATTTTTCCTATATATTCCTATGTAAAACTTGGGTCGGCCATTTTGGCCCCATCCTTGCCCAGGGGGTCATGATTTGAACAAACTTGAATCTACACTACCTAAGGATGATTCTACATGAGTTTCATCTTTCCTGTCCAAGTGGTTCTGGAGAAGAAGATTTTTAAAGATTTTTCTTATATATTCCTATGAAAAACTTGGGTCGGCCATTTTGGCCCCACCCTTGCCCCAGGGGTCATGATTTGAACAAACTTGAATCAACACTACCTGAGGATGATTCCACATGAGTTTCATCTTTCCTGGCCTAGTGGTTCTTGAGAAGAAGATTTTTAAAGATTTTTCTTATATATTCCTATGTTAAACTAGGGTCGGCCATTTTGGCCCCATCCTTGCCCCGGGGGTCATGATTTGAACAAACTTGAATCTACACTACCTGAGGATGATTCCACATGAGTTTCATCTTTCCTGGCCCAGTGGTTCTGGAGAAGAAGATTTTTAAAGATTTTTCCTATATATTCCTATGTAAAACTTGGGTCGGCCATTTTGGCCCCACCCTTGCCCCGGGGGTCATGATTTGAACAAACTTGAATCTACACTACCTGAGGATGATTCCACATGAGTTTCATCTTTCCTGGCCCAGTGGTTCTGGAGAAGAAGATTTTTAAAGATTTTTCCAATATTTTCCTATGTAAAACTTGGGTCGGCCATTTTGGCCCCATCCTTGCCCCGGGGGTCATGATTTGAACAAACTTGAATCTACACTACCTAAGGATGATTCCACATGAGTTTCATCTTTCCTGGCCCAGTGGTTCTGGAGAAGAAGATTTTTAAAGATTTTTCCTATATATTCCTATATAAAACTTGGGTCGGCCATTTTGGCCCCACCCTTGCCCCGGGGGTCATGATTTGAACAAACTTGAATCTACACTACCTGAAGATGATTCCACATGAGTTTCATCTTTCCTGGCCCAGCGGTTCTGGAGAAGAAGATTTTTTAAAAATGCCATTAATTTTTTAACAAATTCATGATTATCTCCCCTTGGAAAAGGGCGTGGCCCTTCATTTGAACAAACTTGAATCCCCTTTACGCAAGGATAATTTGTGCCAAGTTTGGTTGAAATTGGCCTAGTGGTTCTTGAGAAGAAGATGAAAATGTGAAAAGTTTACAACAACGACAACGACTATGACGACAACAACGACAGACAACGGACAAATTTTGATCAGAAAAGCTCACTTGAGCCTTCGGCTCAGGTGAGCTAAAAATTAAAAAAAAACAGCTGAAAGGGTTTTTTTTTTTTTTAATAAAATCTCTTATAAAACTAAGGAGTGCTTCAATTTTATCAACTATGCATTTTTACCAGCTGATCTATTTAATTCCTAAAATTGTAATTACTCTAGAATACGGATCAATGGGTCGCTAGATTTTAGCTGTTGTTAAAATATACAGTAAAATATATTTCTGTGTTAATCACCCTAAAAATTCTTACAATAAGATGGTCCTAGACAGCATTTATTCGCAATATGAGCCTCTAATTACGGTACATAAATACATCTGCTCTTCAGAATTACATAGATATATTTCAATTTCAATTTATAAAGGTGAAATGTGTTCTACATTGACACTTTAATTATGTTAAATTTAGGAGTAATTCTAGACATACATTGTAACGCCTAACTGCTTTTGACACAATTTCAGCACATGTTTTTGTGTCAATTTCAGTTTCTTGACACTTAGGCATATTAATATTCAAGTTTGTATTAGCGTCTGATTTTCGAGTAGTCTCTCTTTCAAGTCTAATTCATTGATATGCAGTCTTTCAAGCCAATAATAACAACTTGAAACTGAATATCTTGAGCTCATATAAACTTAAACACATAAAGTACATTCCTTCGAGAAAATAATGGTTTTCGTTAGATTGATAGAGAACAAAAATTAAAAAGCAAACAAAAGTAAAATTATGAAGAATATGAAGAAAATTGAAAAAAAAAATTCTGAGAAGACCATTCTTATGCAATTAAGTTTTGTTTCTTAACATTTAAAATATCTTACGATTAATAATATTGATACGAACAGATTAATGCTCTACTATTTTATAAATGAGGAAATCTGACAAAAAAGTTCATGTAACAAGAATATCAGCAGTCTCGTTTAAAGTAATAATTTTGCTAGTTCTTTGGTCAATACAATGACCCTGTCAGCAAATACTATCTATTATTAATCTGCTGATGACTTTTTTAAATTTATTAATTGTTAGGCCATTAATTTACACATTGGATTGTCTACTGATTTATTCTTTTTTCTCGATCATGACATGGAGCACACGGCGGGTATAACGGGTCGGTATATGCTGATCTTACCTCTGGTGTTTTTTAAGCCCATGGTAAACGTTTGCTCTTCTTACGAACTGATTTGTTTTAATGATCTTTTGGACTTGAATACTGTTTGTTATCTCAATACTTCATAGAAAACTCTTCTCACACATATGTACAAGTTTTATGTTAGTCCATAATTTTGAAAGAGGATATTGTTTGTCGATAGAAAAAGGGAATATTCTACATACCTAATTGAGCATCTTTTGCCTTTCCATCCCGCAGTACATCGACATTTATTGTTTCTACATTTTCCACCATTTAGACATGGCTGATTGCATCGCCCTGAAAAAAATTATAAGCCAGTGATATATGTAGTAGCAATATATTTAAGCTATAATATTTACATTACATACTGTTTTCTATCTCCTTTATTTCTTAAGAGAAAAAAAACTATCACCGTAATCAATCCCTTAATAATGGCCTTTGAAGCGGACACCGGTTTTCTAAAGTCTAATTACATTTGAACGATTTCTTAATTCATAATTATGGTCTTTTATGAATGTAACATACGGACCAATATTTCACAATTTTACTATTTTCGATTACTTTTTTTTTTAAAAAAGGTTATACAGATATACAAATTATCAATAAAAAGTATTTTAATTAATACAGGAATAACAAAATCAATCATTGCAGGAAAACAGAACAAAACCATTGAATTCTGCATATTACTCCTTTATGATTTTGTAAGTTTCATCAAAAATATATTCCATTTTATTTCATATTAATTATATGTACATGTAATTCATTAATGATATATAATTTGTAAAAAGATTGTTTAATTCATGTATATAAATTGTTAACAATTATTTTACCTATGTGACACCATTTCCCTGAGTACCCCAGTGGACAGCTACATTTATTTGGTCCTATACAGAAACCACCATTTTTACATCTCCTCCTACATTTATCTGTACGTCGATAAACAAATACACAATTAATTTAACATTAAAAAGCTTGAATGAAAACAATCAATCACACAAATATTCCGCATAATTTCTTTCCAAAGTTATTTTTTAAAATTCAAAATGAGATCTGTTGAAGAAAAAGAATTAAAATCAACAGTGTTAGAGTATTCTATTTCTTGTTATGTATAAAATTTTGGAAATTGAAAATCATTTCATCGTTTTTTGTCATGATGTTGCTTCGTATATGCCATTTTCCGTTACTTACACTTCTCGCAGTGGGACCCATAAAACCCTGCCTTGCACTTGCAAACGTTTGGAAATATACACGATCCACCATTTTTGCATTTTGGTTTGCAGATAGCTGAAATAATTGACAGGACGTTATGTTGTCAGCCATAAAATATAATCTCTAAAATGTAACGCATAAAATTTGACACATAATTTCTATTTTTACCAGATGAATCAGAAATATTGGTTTTTATCATTTAAAAAAAGATGACATTTTATCAGTATGAGAACTATTTTTTGGTGAGTAGGAATCTAGGATGTGACGTAATAACCTTTCTGACATCTTCTTCCTCTATAGTCCTGCCGACAAGAACACTTATTTGGTGCAACGCATTTCCCGCCATTATTACACCGACGCCGACATATCGCTGTGTAGAACATTAAATCAAATTCATTATCAAAGCGTGTGATGTAATCGTCATGTGGTGAAATATTTATATATTTTATTGCATCCAGTCTTAAAGATTTTTTTTGGTTGATATACTTAATAATATATCTATTTTTAAATTATACTTACGTATTGAACAATCTTTTCCCTTGTATCCCTTTTTGCATTTGCATCTTTTTCTTTTCCAACATTTCCCACCATTTTGGCACTTTATGCTACATCCAACTGTTGCTGATAAATATATGAGTTACAATAATTATATTATTTGAATTGCATTTTTGAATCTCTCACGATTTTTAATGGATCGGTCCCCTTTAATCGATAAATTCCAGTATATGTATAATATAATATCCCTTAGTCATACCTTTACATGTTGGTTGTGAGTAGCCTTTGGGACAAACACACACACCAGGACGAATGCATTTCCCGCCATTTTTACAGCGTGGTTTGCAAATAACTAAAATACATTTCATTAACTTAATCAAAAAGAACACAGATTTCTCTCTGACATGTCTGATGCAATGCTTTATTGAGAAAAGTATCATATACTCTGAGATTCAATGGCATATACATTAGAAATCACAATACTACCTTTTTGGCACTGTTTCCCTTTGTATCCTTTTGGGCATGCGCAACTTCCATCTAGTCTGCAGGAGCCGCCATTATAACATTCTTTCGAACAGCCTTTGGCTGAAGCTGCATCTGTATAAATGGCAGATGAACAGTTTATAATACTTAGTATTTTGAAATTAACATAGGTACCATAACGACAGATAATTGTATCTTAACAGTTTTTAGGTAATTACCAGAACATGCTTTCCCCCCACAAGGTTTCGTCTGAATTAACTGATTTTCTTTTTCTAAGCAATTTTCAAGGTCATTGTTACCACAGTAGCGAGTGCGGGACTGGAATCCCATACCACAAGACACACTGCATGTAGACCATTCCGACCAATCAATATAAACAGCTGTGAAAACATGAGAGTACTAAATGACAAATTGTATTGAATGAGTGGGTATATAATGAAAATGAAACCAAATCAACCATGATAAATCAAACTTATTATTCGTCCAAAAATCATATGCTATGGTTGCTGAGAGGACAATGGTTTGCAAATCTATTTTATTTCGTTAACTTACACGGAAAAATTATTACATTTTGTCTTTCAAATTTAAAAAAGAAGGACAACTCTTACTTGATGTTTCTTGAGTATTTAAGGCTGCTGCAGACGTGTTTTTAAATGTTGTTCTGTCTTCGCTATTGTCCGGTTTGGATTGTTCGGACTGTAATAATGTCTGGGCGACACCAACCTGACTGTCGTCTTTAACTGCTTTTTCTGTCCCAATTATTTTCTCCTTGTTGATAAAAAGGACAATATTTAGAATCATATTACATATTTATTTCAGTATTTCAATGTTCTCAATACATATCATAGCAACATCACCAAAATGAGATAATATCACCGGACCATTATTAACTAACGTCAAAGATGGATGTCAACGTTCTTACCCCGTTTTGCAATTTACTGGAACACTGTTGAGCAGCTGCATTTGGATTCTTAACAATAAGTAGCTGTTCGATGGACCCCTAAGAGTACAGACATAAAAATAATAGAGGGATTTACAATTATATCGCTAATATTCAGGATATAGAATTTTAAAACTTTTCACTTCACCAATAGAAATAATGAAAATTACTACCTGGAATGGAGTTCCATGCCTTGCAAAGTAGGGCCCTAGAGCAAGCATTAAGTTAACTCCTACATAAGGTTTCATACTCCTTCCGAAGAACTGAGACCTCACTTTCTCACAGTCAATAAAAAGAGTCACTTGTTGATCTTCCACACTGAAGGCGAATTGGTGCCAGGTAGAGTCACTGAGATTCTCTACAAATCCTGGAGATTTAGGCCCAGGTAGTCCGTTTTGATCGTAATATTCTAAGGTAAGCCTTTCTCCAAACTTTATAGCCATTTTCTGTTGGCCCATAATGTCACTAAACGTTAATATATATCCTTCCGACGATTTGTTAAGCTTGGCGGTGATTAATATCGAGAAATCCTTCGGAAATTTACCTCTGTAGAGGTCGGATAGAGGAATATATAAATTGGCTTCACTACTTATAGAGTAAGCTGAAGTTCTGTTAGATTCTATGGATACCCCGTGAGGAAGTTTAGGTATCCCTAATGCTTTGAGTATGTCTGTTGTTCCTGAAAAGATTTGGGGAAATCAAGTGTCAATATGATGTGTAAAATGGTTTCAGAGAAGAGAGAATCGTCAAAGTTATATTTTCTTGCTGTAAAAAGTGTTGCTTTTGTTCAGAAACCTGTTAATTAATTATCTATAATAATTTCATTTCAATTTATGACAATGACGCTCAAAAAGAATTACCATTCATAGATATAGGTATACAGTAAAATACCGTTATAACGAGTTCAACATTCATTTATTGGATATTTTCATCATGACAGTAAGTCCAAATTTTTTTTAAAACTATTTTTCTTTGTACCTTTACAGGGGAATTCGTTACAGGACCTCCTTTCTGAGACTGCGCTAGAACAGGAAGTCAGGTCGCTGCAGCCTCGTTTTCGGATCTGAGTTCCTTTTCCACAAGTAGCGCTGCAAGATTCCCACGACGACCAAAAATTCCAACCTGAACAGAAAATAATCCTTTTAAAACAATTTCCTTACAAAAATACTTGATAGATAGTTTATTTCTATTGATAATAAACAGAGTTGATGCTTTTCGACTTCGGCTCTTTGGTAACTAAAAATATAATAATGAGATGGACAACGGTATTTCAAATTTGAGAGCAATAAATCTGAAAAATGCTTTAATCGGGAAGAATACTTTCCCTTTGTATCTATTAAACTCTTCCATCTGAGCTATCATAAATGATTTGTTAAAAAAAGATTGTTAATGTCTATTAAGATATTTAATACAGTTCGCCTTAGTTTTTTTGTCCCTTTTGCCCTAAATACATGTAGGCGAATTTTAGTTTGGTCGAAATCAAAGATATACCCGGTATAACTTTAATATGGGCTAAAGACAAAATGTTTTATGTGCTGAAATTGCTTGTTGATATCATTGACCTTAATTTGGACCGCTGTGATGTTTTCATTACGTCATACTTTATTCCTTCAGTGCGTGATTTGCAAGTGTTGGTTTTCAACAGTTACTAGGTTGACTGAATAACATGTAAATTCGAAGTGTGGCTTAACAACATCCGCATCAATTGTTTTGCCATATTCTGCCAAGCACTCTTATACAAACAGCTTGGTTCTTGGATCCGAGAAAACTCGTGTTCCCCTGGAACTCAGTCAATAAATGAATGGTATGTTTACTTCTTAAAAAAAAATTCTGAAAGAAAACTCTTATTTACAAAAGAAGACCACGATAGTTTTGATTTCGTCATTTATAGCATTTTACTATTTTTATATCAATTTCCTATAAACATTTTAAAGATGATATCTATCACTATGATACTTGACAAACCAATGTAAATGTCGTGTACTGTAGACTTGTACAAAGAAAACCAAACTTACGACTGCCGATAGTTTACATCATGATAATATGAAGCTGGTTTCCAATTACCAGTTGAAGTTGAAAAATGTACTTTTAAAGATTTGAGAAATTTGAAACATTCCAGAGTTAATTTGAAACTCAGCAGAAGAACATATTAACAGAGATGAACTTAAGGTGTTTATTCTATTCTTATACCATTCAATAATATTCCTGACGGGTGCATCAAGTTCATAATATTTTTGTTGTAATATGTTTTTATAACCGTTTGATCATATCCATGAATGACCCTAGTTGTAACATTGCTAGCAGCTGGATTCAAACTTGTCAAATTATGTTATTTAATTATTTGTTCCATGATACACCGTTTTAATAGAAGTATGAATGGAGCTGTCTTGAGATAAAGCATTAATCCTACGTAATCGCCGTTATGGGTCTGTTGCTCATAACCCTAACTGTCTAATGCATTTTACAGAAGTATTTTGCGTGCGATAATCTATAGATGTATCCTGCTGATATCTCCCTTATCACACTCTTGATCTGACAAAAAGATATAAAGTGTCATGAAGCACGCTAAGCGAGAATTCTACACACCAATAGAACACATACACGTGCACGTCGTGCATTAATAACATATGTCAACGAAGAATTGAAAAATGTATGCACACCTGTACAGAGCTGGTCTCACGGTCACTCTGTTTTAAACAAAGTGCCAGTTTGAGAAAATGACGTGGTCAGAATGATAAGGAATTTTATACTCAAAACAAATGCGCCATTCATTTTGATCCATGCAGAAGTTCTTGAAGAGTACATAAACAAAGTGTACCTGTCCTATTCTTATTGCAATTGTTATGTTTTCATTTTAAATAAATTGATTATATGATTTATTCCTGCAGAATTAATTTTAACTACCTCTGTATTCTAAAGAGGTATAATATGATAATTATTTTCAAGGTCATTACAACATGTACAATATATAAAGAAAATTGTATGGGTTTCCTTTTTTTGTTTTCCAGAATACATATCTGCACAATTTGTAAATACCAGTATATATTTCAACAATAATATTGATTGTTGTTTGTTTGTCTTTACAGAATATCACGTATTGATCAAACATCAATCGTGAAACGACAGCATGCAACCTTGTCAGTTATCAAAAAGGCCAAATGTTGGCTTCCACAAATGTGAAAGACCATTTGTTGTATCTTTGAAATCTTACATTTGTATCATTGAATATCATTGAAAACAGACACGTTACAAAAAATACTAATATCTCTTGTACTGGAGATACGAGTATTTTAGCAATACCGAGGCAACCAAAATCTTCAAGAATATAAGAAACTTTGTCAAAAGACATGGTTTTTAAACAGTGTTCATTTCAATTACATGACGGCAGCTGATCTTTGAAAAGTAAACAGACTATTGAGTTATAACAAGCGTTAGCCTCTTAAAGTAACTTTGTCACATTATCTTAATATTACTAACACTGATTATTCTCTAAATCCAAAGATCCCAATGTTTGCACTTAAAGGAAACAAAACACTGGAAGAAATGAGGTGGAAACTTTAATACTAAAACGTTTAAAAATCTTTCAGATTCTTAATATTTAAAAGCCATCAGAAGGTCATAGAGAAAAACGCCGAGACAGATCAAAGAAAACTTACAAAATACCCAGATATGATTTACTGACTGGGTCACTATAATAACTTAATCTGAACTAAACCTCCCCCATAGACACGCTAAAAATTCCACGTATATTACTGAGCAAATCTTTTTCAGAAGCAGTATTCCTCCCCGCGGCCAATCGGCGGCACTATATTTTTCACTTGGCTGCTCTTTTGAAAAGAAGGTGCAAAAGGTTTAAACGTCTCCAGAAAAAGGAGGCGAGAAAGGTATTAAATTGCTCTTGTGATATATAAAGAAACACTTGAGTAGCTTAAATAGAGCTCTTAAAGTCATTGTTTTGATTAAAAGACCGTTTTGAAGTGCTAAGATGCGACTCAACAGCGACAAACTGTTTGAGAAGTCTGCAGGGTAGCTCAAGTCTGTTGGAATCCAATTCACAATCAACAACATTATACAAATCAATGGGTATTAAGTATTAAAGTGCTTGCTTCACTTAATTATGTATCAGAGAGCATTTACAGACAAACTGTGGGGTCTCACAGACTTTTGTCGATCATCATTTATTAAAAAAAAGTTTATACAATCTATGATTTTCAATTTACCTCGATAATTGAAGTTTTACTTTTACCAACAATGGAGATCAAGACAATCTTGGCGGCAAAACTTCTGTATTGAGAAGATTTCGCTCGACATGTTACATTTCTCATCAAATTTTGAAATAACTTTAATCTTTTATTAAATTGGAAAGATAATTTTCAGAGATATGTTATATATTGCAAGTTATGATGAGAATATTCGAAACTCAAGGTGAGACGCTGCCCTTTCATCGGCGTATCAATTTTCCCTATGATCTCAATGTTCGAAAAATGAGCCATGAACAAAATATTGATGCATTTTTTAAGGACGAAAATAATATAATATATCATCGTGTGAAACGCACTGGGTTAGAAAAAGATAATTTTAAACAGAATAAATAAGGACCAATACCAATTGTTTATGATAATTTTGAGAAATTTGTTGAAGATGCAGAACAGTTTATCTTAATTGATGTGCATATATGTAAGCGTTTACAAGGTAATTAATATAGACTTTCAATGATGTTATGGCAACATCTTTTAAAATAGTATATGACGTGCTGAAAGGACCCAGCACCGTTATAAAAACGTCTGGGTCTATTTAAAGTAGATATAGGGGTTCGTGGCATTTTTGATTTCTGACACAGAAAAAAAATTCAAGTTACGGATTACGGACTAACACTTTTCGGCAATTTTCTGATAATTAATCTTATTTATTGCTGCTCTTTAAGATAGTCTGGCGAGTAAACAATGTTATCCTTATCGGCGAAATTCGGACTATCTGCCAACACTGTTTTTGAGATGAGTCTTTAATGCATTTAAACTTTATTTGCTTGTGAATCTATCCCCAAGCAGGTTAAATAACCGGGTGCCATTCCAATTAATGTTTATTTACTGTTCAATTATTTGAAAATTTGGATCAATATTGATTTTTCACAAGCTTGGCATTCCAAAGGAAGGACGAAATTGTACGAAACGGCGAAATCGGGATAAATTTGAACATCGATAAAGATGATATTTTCTAATATCAAGGAGAATTTTCTATACATGTAACTTTAAACATAAAATATTAAGGTAATTTCCATCTCAAAACTTGCAATCATGTTCAAGATGGAAAACAAAAAATAAAAAATAAAATATTCTTAAAATAGAATAGAAATAGAAAAACAAAAACCTTCCTAGATAATCAATTGCACTTTGCTCAGAAGTAATCATGTCTGTTTGAAAAAAGACAGAGACGCAATATAACACATTTCAACAGTCTGGCGAGTAAAAACAGACCACTGCATGCAATATGTGGAAGTGTTCAGGCAAAATAATTTTCTTTCCCCACTTTCCATCTTTCATTATGAATTAAGCGTTTGTTTATTTTAAGAAAATGATCTTGTTATGATGATTTGTGTGTGAAAACAAGTTATTTTTCATTTTTCTGATATTCTAAAATTTATCTGGCATTAAGTTCTTTTAAAAAATATTTTGCAAATAGAAAAAAATATATATAACACTCAAGTTTTTATTCAGTGTCCAGTTTTCTGACTGACACTGATTGCTTAAAAACTGTCCTCAAATAGATGGCATTCATTAACTCATAAAAACTTTCTTCAAATCTATATATTTTTTTCTCCATAACACCTGGTACGAATCTGTATAATTTTCATCTTTTAGAACGCATGTGTAGAAATGAAATAAACACGATTATGGAACAATATCCAGTATGTAATATATTTAATCAAACTAATTTCTGAATCGCACCTTGCATGTGTTAAGTAAGAGAGGGTACGAGAGAACATGTTGGCAAATATTGGAACATCTTATTAATTCTCTCTTACAACTCATTGCCTTACATCCTTGTTTGCTTGTAATTTTCTGAATAAATATTTGAAGTTAGGCCTTTATTTAGTAAATCTTAATAGGATATAAACAAACTAA